ATATTTGTGCCTCACACAAATGCTATGTCATATTCTCCACTGCTTTTTCTCTATAGATTGTTAAAAATTATACTTAACCACACAATATTTTTAAATTTTGGAACTATAAATAAGGTATTTAAAGTTTGAAAATGTAAATGTGCAATAGTGACGAAACTGAAATTTCCTTTTGATAATGATATTTTATAAAGAAATAATGAGTTGTGTTCTAAAAACTAATACTGAGGTACTGACCACTTAGGACTTTTAGTTGGCATTGCGTTGTTATTAATAAGCATATGACGATTGCTCTGGTTTATATTGACCTATCCTCACTCTTGCAATATCCAGAAATAAGTATTTTTGGAACCAGCAGAGTGATCAAAAGCTCTTTGCCTGTGTTTCATGGGCGGTTTAGTACTGCATGTTTTTTCCTTTAAACTTGATAAAGCACTGTCTGTTCTCCCGCAGTGCCAGACAAGGCTGTGCTTTCCCTGATGGTTCCCAAATTTGGTTGTTACTGTTCCTGCTGTAGGGATTGCCTAGAAAAGAAGAAGAAGCAGGAGCATACCCTGGTAGATGAGATTGAGCACACAAAATCAAGAATGTCTGAAGTTAATGAAGAACTTAGTCTCATCAGAAGTGAATTGCAGAATGCTGGAATTGAAGACCATGAGGGAAAACGTCAACGGAAGAGAGCAGAAGTTCTGGAAAACCTTAAAAGACTTTATCCAGATTCTGTGGTAATTAGAATAAGTAGTTAATTAAAACACAAAGGCTAAGTGTTCTTGTTTCAGAAAATAGTCTTATTTGAGGTTGGAAATGCAACTATTGTAAGGAACAAAACCATTTCAGGAATTTCATGTTTTGCTTTTGACAGTTATGTTTAAAATACAATAGTAAATTGAGCAAGTGGTAAATACTTCCAGTAGTGTTTATAAGTAATTATTGAAGAGAAACATTGACATGAGCATAGTACTTAGCTGATATCTTCAAAGAAAACATCGTATGAAGTAGTCTGGGTTCTCCAGTCAAGAAACCCCAAAACTCAAATTCTTTTTGATTTTGGTTTTAAATATCTCTCTATAGATAGGTAGATATAGATGTGATATATGGCCGCATCCTCACCATATGTTTTTGTTCTTACTGTATCCAGTATTACTAACTATATTTTATTAGCCAAAATACAGTGGCCTCTGTTACTTGGGGAGTTAGCCTCACAACACTGGTACCATTAGTGTTGGGGGCCTGACCTCTGGTCTCTGTGGATTCTCTATGTAGGGATGGCCTGTTCTCAGTACTTGACACTTAACCATTGCTGTGTGTCAGAACACTTGCCACTGACCTCCATGGTATCACATTCTCACAGACACCTACCTGTCTTTATCTCCTTTACATTGTCTTTCTTGAAACTCCTTTTTTGGGGGGGAACAAAATGTATACAGGTTTTTTTTTTATCTTTTTTTGAGACAGGGTCTTCCTGTAGCCTCAGCTGGCCTGGAACTCACTTTATAGACCAGGCTGGCCTTGAACTCACAGAGATACGCCTGCCTGTGCCTCCTGAGTGCTGGAGTGCTAGGATTAAAGGCATGCACCACCGCCCAGCACTAAATGTATACAGTTTTTTTTTAGTGTGTGTGTGTGCGTGCGTGCGTGCGTGCGTGCGTGCGTGTGTGTGTGTGTTGCTGAGGATTGAACCTAGAGCCTCATGTACGTGAAGTAAGCCTTCTACCAACTGAGTTATATCCCCAATTCTTTTTTGACATTCTTAAATCTTTAAATTATAGATAATGATAGAGGAATAGGGCTAGGTTGCAGAATCTTGTTTTTTCAATTCTTAGCAAAATGACACAAACTTATCTTTTAAAAAGCACATGCTAGTTCAACCACTGCACCTGTGTTAGTTTCTTTCTGTTGCTGTGATAAAATACCATGACCAAGGCAACTTATGTAAGGAAGAGTCTTTTCACTTGTGGTCCAGAGGCTAAGAGTCTATCAAAAGACGGGGAGGCATGGCAACAGAGGTGGCTGGAGCGGAAAGCTGAGTATGCACATTTTCAAGTAGGTGCAGGAAGCAGAGAGAAAGAAACTTGAAGCAGGCACGCTATAGCACACCCCAGTGGCATGCTTCCTCCACAGCAAATCCACACCTCCTAAACCTCTCAATAACAACACCAACTAGAGCTTTTGAGGGATATTCTCATTCAAACCACCACAGAACTTAATGGCAGAAAATTACAGTAGTTCAGATTTCAAAAGGGGTGTGAGCTGGAGATATGATTAAAAGCACTTACTGCTCTTGCAAGAACCCATTTCAGTTCTCAGGATTGACATCCAGTGGCTCACAACCACCTGCAACTCCAGCTCCTGGGGATCTGATGCCTCTTCTGGCCTCTGCAGGCTAATGTGCACACACACTTCTTTAAAAAGCAAAAACAAGGAATTGGAGAGCTAGCTCAATGGTTTTAAGAGCACTGATTGTTGCAGAGGACCCAGGTTCGGTTCTCAGCTTCTATTTAATGACTAACAACTGTCCATAACTCCAGTTCAGGGGATCTAATGACCTTTTCTGGCCTCCATAGATATTGTATGCATGTGGTGCCCTTACATGCATGCAGGTAAAACATAAAGTAAAATTTTTTTAAAAAAATTTAAAGAGGGCCAGGCATGGTGGCGCACGCCTTTAATCCCAGCACTTGGGAGGCAGAGGTAGGTGGATCTCTGTGATTTCAAGGCCAGCCTGGTCTCCATAGTGAATCCAGGACAGCTGGGGCTTCAGGGAGACCCTGTCTCAAAAAGATCAAAAAAAGCCGGGCATGGTGGCACACGCCTGTAGTCCCAGCACTTGAGAAACCAAGCTGGTTAATTGAGTAATTCCTAAGAATTGTTACCTAGTATGAATGTAGCATTAGTTTATCAAGAAGCATAGCTTATGTATTGGTTTCCTTTACTGAGTGGAGGGAGTTAAATTTAAAAACTAGTGGACCAGGGAATGTAAATCTGATGTTCTCTAAACAGAGACGACACTAGGGTTTCTCGTTAAATTGAGAGGCTATTTTTAATCCCTTCCACCAAAGTAAGATTTGTCTTCCTACGCAAGATAGAAGCACCTTGACATAGAATGCTAATGGGAAACTCTGGAGAGAAATGAGACATTCAGAGTGTATTCTCACAAAGAATCAGCTGAGTCCTCACGTGCACCTGCCCTCCTAAGCCCCTACGGGCTAGGAAAGTGGGCAGAGCAGGAATGTGGATGCTGTCACATCACAAAGAAGACAGTCCTTTCACTCTGTGGGAAAGCAGTCAAGAAGCTGCCCACTTATAGAAAATGAGTCGTTTGACCAAAGCCATCTCCATTAAGCACAGGCAAGGAGAAATAGTGAATATCGCAGCTATTGGTACACACAAAAATGAAGAGAAGATAGTATTTACTACTTAAAATTTATTTTTTTATGTATGTGTTTTGCCTCCATGTATATAAGTGACCACAGAGGCCAGAAGAGGGCATATTAGATCCTCTGGAACTGGAGTTACAGATGGTTGTTAGCTGTCATGTGGGTGCTGAGAACTGAACCCAGGTCCTCTGCAAAAGGAGCCAGTGCTCTTAACCACTGAGCCATCTCTTCAGCATCAAAGATAACATTTAAAAGTCAAAGTGCCCAGTCTAGGGGGTTACATAGCAAAATTTTCCACAAGTATTTTCTGCTATGGACAATAATAAGAGATTGAATTTCTAAAACGATTCAAATGTGAGGTGAAACAACACAACTAAAAAGAAATTGTGAGCCAGATGTGGTGGTGCACGCCTTTAATCCCTGCACTCAGAAGGCAGAGGCAGGCAGATCCCTGTGGTTCGAGGCCAGGTAGGGCTACAGAGAGAGCCTATCTCAAAAGGACCCCCTCCAAAAAAAGAAATTGTGAGGCTAAGAAAACAAGTGAAAGATAAAGCATTATTATTGAGAATTGCTCACAGTTAATACATTTGAAGTAGCAAAAAGAAAGACTTGAGATAATGATGATTGAATAGAGAAGAAAGGTCAAAGAGACTTAATTAGATCCGAGAGAATAAATAGATGAGGATGATCTACAGTCAGAAAGCTGGTATGCTGGGAGGAAACTAAGAAATAGAAGAGTGAGCCCAAAGTATGGAATTAAATCCTCAGTCTCCTTGACTAGACTGAATTATGAGGTTAGAGGGTATCCATTTTGTTCAATACTATTTGTTAGTCCCTGTTGGTACCTTTTAGATTCTTGTTTAATAAGCAAGGGGGTGAAGGAATTATTATTTGCTGCACTTTTATAGAATCATCTTAATAGTTAAGTAAAGTGTGGCATCTATAGGGGCATTTCATAATGAAATTGGAGTGAATTTGAATGTATTAAATTGTGTATATCATTTTATAAAATTAGCTGTAATGCTGCTCTGTGACATTAGAAAGTGTGAAATATATGTTCCTCATTAATATCTTTATTTTCCTCTCCTGTTCTGAAACCTACTCAGTTTGGAAGACTGCTTGACCTGTGTCACCCTATCCACAAGAAATACCAGCTGGCTGTGACTAACCTGTTTGGCCAGTACATGGTTGCCATTATTGTAGCCTCTAAAAAGGTGGCAAGAGATTGTATTCGATTTCTGAAGGAGGAAAGAGCTGAACCTGAGACATTCCTCGCTCTAGATTACCTTGATGTAAGAAAGCTGTAATGTTTGGTACTGAATAGTTATCAAATTTTGAATCCTTAGTTACTTAGTCATTTCCCCAAACTGGTATCTTGGCTGGGGAAAGTAGCTTGGCTGTCAGCCAGTCATACAAATGCCTGGAGTTTCTTTACTGGCAGATGAAGAATAATATCAAGGGGGTCACTATGTTCCTTGATTTGTGTCGTTTCTTCCTAGTCAGTTTCCTCTACTTTTACCTCAGAGTCTTCAATTCCTATACCACTGTCTATTATCCAACAGTATGTTCTGTTTTACAACAAAGCATAGGAAATGGGTTAAGACATATAGTCTGTTGGTAAAAGCCAACTCAGTTGAAAATGTTTGGTCCTGAGTATCAGCTCTTGGCCGAAAAGGCTAAATTTCGAGTCTTGAAATATGTATTATGACACCTTAGCAGCATATCTGAGTCTAGGTCCCTGAAATAGGAGCGCTCGTCTCCCTGTAGTAATTATTTTCATTGACTACTAAAGAAAATCTTCTATTTGATTCAGCAGTAGTCTAGCTTACTTTTCTGTTGCTCTGATAAAACACTGATCAAAAACAAAACAACAGCTTGGGGGAGGAAAGGGTTTGGCTTACAGGTTACAGTCTGTCATCAAGGGAAGCCAAGGCAGGAACCTGGAGGCAAGAACTGAAGCACAGACCATAGAGGAGCGCTGCTTACTGGCTCGCTTCCCTAGGCTTGCTCAGTTACCTTTCTTATACAGCCCAGGCCCAATTGCCCAGGGGTGGCACTGCCCACAGTGGGCTGGGTCCTGCTACATCAATCAACAATTAGGAAAATGCCTTATAAGACATGTTTACCAGTTATTCCATCTGGGAAATTCTTCAGTTGGACTCCCTCTTCTCCATAGACCCTAGTTTGTATAAAGTTGACAAATACTGGCCAGCACAATCAGTCTCAATCCTGAACTGTATGTGGAGTCCATAGTGGTCAAGAACACAGGCTGCTACATTCTGAATCCTACTCCTACTCCTAAATAGCTCTACTAGTGGGTTCTTTTTTAAAAATTTCATTTATTATTTTTGTTTTATGTGTGTGCGTGTATTGCCTGCATTAGGTAAGTGCACCCATGTCGTGCGATGCCCGTGGAGTTCAGAAGAGGCTGTTGGGTCCCCTGGGACTGGAGTTACGGACAGTTGTTAGTGGCCATGTCGGTGCTGGGATTCGAACCCAAGTCTTCTGCAAGAACCGCTAGTGTTCTTAACCGCTGAGCCATCTCTCCAGCCCCTGCTAGTGGGTTCTTAAGTTTGTTGAGGTTCCATTTCTGCATTTGTGAAATAAAGAAATCCTCGCCTTGTTAGATTATTGCAGGGGCTCTTTACCTGACATAGTGCCTGACCAGAGGAGAGGTCAGCAAGTGCAAACTGTGTTACTCAAAGCCAGACCTGCATTTCTTGCTTCAACATTTTGCTTATGCCTATGCCCATGAAAGATTCTTACTCTTAATTCACTTGCCTGTTAAAATAGTTTTTTATGTTACTCACTTGGGAATTTTATTTTTCCCAAGGCAAACACATCTTTTTAAAAGCCTTATATGGGGTGAGTGAGATGACTCAGCAGATAAAGACGTTTGCTTGCCACCAAGCCTGATGATCAGAATTTAGTTCCCCGAATCCACGTGGTGAAAGGAAAAAACTGACTCCCCCAAGTTGTCCTGCGACCTCCACATGCATGCCTATCCATGCCTATACACTTAATACATGTATACACGTGTGCACACAATAAATAAAAGTAAAAGAAAGTAACATATATAAAATGTAAACGGAATAGTTCTACCTCTTTCTGTTCACAGTTTTTAAATAGTAACTACTTTAGACTGTTTTTCCATACACTTGAGCCATGTATATATGTGCACACACACATACATGCTTACACACATATTCACCCTTGTGTATGTGTATATATACTAAACATTTTAGTGTGTCCAGGATTTCTTTTAACAGGAATCATCATACTTGCTGGATTTCAGTAATACACTGCAGATACATTTTTGATTTGTAGAGAGAAACCTGAAAGTTGTGTCTTAAGGTCTGAAGGTTTCCTGATCATCTCAGCCTAGAGGGACTTCAAGCTCTGTAGTATTATGCTGCTTTTCAGTACATTTCTAAGGGCATGTTGCTTTCCCCTGGATTTATGATTTAGAGAACATAAAAGACTTCTTATGTATTGTTTTGTAATAAGTAGTTACTGACAGTTGAATCTGGAAGTTTTGCCTTCTGGCTTAGTGTTTGTGTTTTTCAAAATTGTTATATAGGACAATATAGGATTTTGTTTTTCATGTTATCAGACTTTCATGCATTAAGGGCATATTGTTAATCTTTTTCTGTATTGTGGAAAAAAATATGAGTGTTTAATTTTAGAGTAACTAATACATCAAGTCTCCTTAACCTTTCAGATCAAGCCTATCAATGAAAGACTAAGGGAAATTAAGGGCTGTAAAATGATGATTGATGTTATAAAGACTCAGTTTCCTCAGTTGAAGAAAGTGATTCAGTTTGTCTGTGGAAATGGCCTTGTCTGTGAGACTGTGGAAGAAGCAAGACAGATTGCATTTGGGGGACCTGAAAGACGGAAGGTAAGAGACTTGGATCACACTTTTGGATAAATTGAAGCAGCATTTACAAGGTCTCCCTACACACATGCATGCATGTGTGCACATACATACATACACCCCTACACACAGTTTGATATATGTATGCCATTTTTATAGTGAAGACCAGAATAGGACCTAAGATAACTTTCAGTTGATGTGTATGTGTGTGCTTTAAAATATTTTATTATTTTAATTTTATTTTATATGTATGAGTACATTGCCTGCATGTATGTAAGTGTACCCATGTCATGCAGTGCCTGTGGAGGTCAGAAGAGGACGTCGGATTCCCTGGAACTGGAGTGATGGATCGTTGTTAGCCACCATGTGGGTTCTGGGAACCAAACCCGGGTCCTCTGCAAGGATATCCAGCTCCTGACCACCGAGCTGTCTCCCTAGCCCCTGATTGTTCTGTTTTGAGATAGGTCTTGAGTAGCCCAGGTTGGCCTTGCACTTACTATGTACCCAGGGATGACTATGACTTCTGATCATCCTCCCTTTGCTTACCAATGGCTGGGATTATAGGCATGCACCACCATGGCCAATTTTATATGGTGCTAGAGATTGAATTCATGTATTTGTACACACTAGACAAGCACTCTGCCATGTGAGTGAGCCACATCCATAGCCCATCAGTTACATTTTAAAAATCTACTTCTGTACATTCTCAACATCATAAATTGGATTTACTGAGGCTGGGGAGATGGCTCAGCAATTACGAGCACTTGCTGCTCTTGCAGAGGACCTGGGTTTGGTTCCCAGCACCCATAAAATTGCTAACAACCATTCATAAATCCAGTTCCATGGGATCTAACACCCTCATCTGACCTCCATGGGCACAAACACGGTTACACAAAGGCCAAGCACTCATACACATCAAATAAATAAGCATAAAAATAAATAAGAGCTTAGCGTTATTACAGTATTCTAAGGCAGTTGGTTTTTTCACTTCACATGAAATAAGTGCCCTTGCTGGTCCCTGAATTCTCAATTTCCCCTGCATTTTCTATGTATTACATACCTTTTTTGTTACTTTCTTTATAGTCTTTGTTAATTCTTAACTTTGTGGGAATACTTTTATATACTCAAGGTTTACCACAATTAAAATTTTTAATTTTATTACAGAGAGAGCAGGCAGGGCGGGGGGTGTCAGAGGAGAAGCAGTAGGAGTCATGTTCTCTCCACCATGTGGATCCTGGGGATCAAACTCAGGTGGTCAGCCTTAGTAGTAAGTGCTTTTACCTGCTGAACCATCTTACCAGTGCACAACTGAATTTATAATAGCACAATTGATTTTTTTTCTTTTTGAGACAGGGTCTCCCTGTAGCCCCAGCTGGCCTGGAATTCACTATGTAGACCAGGCTGGCCTTGACCTCACAGAGATCTGCCTGCTTTTGCTCCCGAGTGCTGGGATTAAAGATGTGCTCCACCAAGCCCATCCCATAATAGCTCAATTGGAATGTTACTGAATACTAGTATTTCAAGGGAATAATTTTTCTTTTAAAAATAAATATTTTAGGAGCTAAGAAAATGGCCCAGTGGGTAAGAATGCTTGCTCTACAAGCACGAGGACCTTAGTTCAAATCCCTGGTGCCCGCATAAAAAGCCAGGCATGGCTGCAGATGTCTGTAATACTAGCATTAGGGGGTGAAGACAGGTGGATCCCAAAAGCTTACTGGCCAGGGCCTACCCTAAATAGCAAGCTTGCCATTCAGAGAGAGACCCTGTCTCAAAGCAACAAGGGGAGAGAGAGCGATAGTCATAGACACACTCGCATGCAACACACACACACATATACACACAAATACATTTTGTTTTCACTTGATTAGTTTGTATTTAGTTGAGCAATGCTAAATTTTTGCTCAAATAAGCTGACATTGTTATTTTTAAACTACATTTGTAGTGAAGTATATCGTAGTATGTAAGTACTTGAACCATAAAATAAGGCTAGCAGTGCTACTTAGTAACTAGTTATGTGACTTTTAGGCAAGTTCCTCAACTTAATTTTAGGTTTTTTCTCATCCAAAATTGGAGAAATGATAACCTCTTTTATAAGATCATGAAGCTTATATTAAGTACCATCCGGCATAATGCTACCAGAGTGCCTCGTCTTAATAACTGGTAATCATTGTATTACCTACTGGTCAGTTAGCATACTTACCTGGAATGTCCAGAATTGCAAATCAATACAAAACAAACTATTCTTCTGAGACATAAGTCATGTCCATTGTTAAATTGGCTGACATGATGAGTGTTGCATAAATTTGATACTTCTTAGTAAATATTAATGGTAATATAGTCACTGGCTGTTAGTAATCACCATTGTTGGTTTTTCTCTTAAACTTAAGCAAGTGTAATACTAGCTATTAAGGTATCTTATTTTGCTGTCTTATTATGTGAAAATGGACTTTTGTATATTTGTAAAGCTGATTTAAAGATTATATAACCAATTTTAAAGTTGTACAGGGCTCGGGGTGTAGCTAAATGGGAGTATGTACTTAGTATGCAGATTCAGTCCTCAGCACACTGTAGGCAGATGTGAATAGCCCAGGTACTACTTAGCGTCGTCTAGAGTAGCCTGTGCTTGAGCCTAAACTGCGTATCTTTACCAGAAGCAATTCCAGGTGCATTAAAGATATAAACACAGAAACCCTCTAAATGCTCTTAGAAGAACCAGGGGGACTTTTCTTAATCTCAGAGACACAGGCCAGGCTATGAAAGGCAGGCAGCACGAAGAGTCTCTCTGCAGGCAGAAACTAGCATGGGGGCAGGGGCAGCCTGTTGGTAGGCCGCTTACCCAGCATACAAAACCAGTGTGAGTGAAAAAATGAAGAACAATGGCAAACGGATGGAAATATATGCAACCCACCTGTTTTGTCAAATAATAGCTCTTAATCATGAAAAGTCATGATTTTTTAATGGAAATGCTTATTAAAACTATACTGAAGTATTTTTTCATCCACAAGATTAGTTAACATAGCTTTCTAGGTAAGGAGGCTCTTCTGTTCAGTGCTTTGGGACTGAATTTACCAGCTCTGCAAAGAGCATTTCTACCAGTTGTACTTTGTAGGTCCTTCATATGCTGGTAAGCTTACAGTTGTATGAGATGTGTGTGCAAGGCTTATGCATTGAATCACTATGTGATAGGAACAGAATGGAACCAACTCAGGTATTCACATCCAACTAGTGATAGAGACATAAGCACGCCCATTGAGATGCTGTGCTAACCCGAAAGATGACATTATTTATATGCAAGTTTGTGATGAGCTCCAAGATACCATCAGTTAAAACTGAAGGCATAGTTCAGTGGTAGAGTGTCTGCCTAGTATGCCTGATGTCTCCCAGAAACACCCCGTGACAAAAGTACAGTAATGTGTAATACATTACTGTATCTGAAATGTGGGCAAAGCAAATTCCTGAAAGCATTTTTATATGCAAAAGTATTTCTAGGGGCATATATAAGGATTTAGGTGAAAATTTTGATTACCTCTGGGGAGAGTAACTGGGGAATTGAGACTGGGAAATGTTTTCACTCTAATTGACTAGAGACATTTATAAAATATTGAGACGATTTTATTTATTTCATCAAAGATATGCTTACTTAGAACAGTATAAACTGTGGGCTATTTCATGCCTTGACTTTTAGATTTTTTTTTATGTTGTTAAATTATTATTATTATTTTTTTGTCTTTTTTGAGACAGGGTCTCCCTGTAGCCCCAGCTGTCCTGGAACTCACTATGTAGACCAGGCTGGCCTTGAACTCACAGATATCTGCCTACCTCCGCCAACCGAGTGCTGGGATTAAAGGCGTGCACCACCACGCCCGGCGATTTTTAGATTTTTATCTCAGTCTATATTCATTTTGGAGAATGCAATATTTTAGCATATTTTTTTTTGGTCTTTTTTGAGACAAGGTCTCCCTGTAGCCCCAGCTGTCCTGGAACTCACTATGTAGACCAGGCTGGCCTTGAACTCACAGAGATCCACCTGCCTCTGCCTCCCGAGTGCTGGGATTAAAGGCGTGTGCCACCACGCCCAGCTGCCATTTCTTTTTTTAAAAAATATTTTATTATTTTGTGAGTGCACCCATGTCATGCAATGCTGCATGAACTGGAGTTAAGGACGGTTCGTAGCTGCCCTGTGGGTGCTGGGAATTGAACCTGGGTCCTCTGCAAGAGCACTCAGTGCTCCTAACCACTGAGCCATCGCTCCAGCCCCAAAGCCATTTCTTTTTAAGTCATTTTCGTAATATGCTGTTGATGTATATGGCTTCATCAAAAAAAGGGATTATTAAAAAAAAGGGATTATGTAATGCAAGCTATTTGGTATTAAAGATAGGTTTTGCTTTTTAGTGTTGTGTATGTTCAGAACAAATATACAATTTATTTGAATTAAAAATTTTATTTATTTATTTTTATGTGTATGAGTGTATTGCCCGCATGTAAGTGTGGTCATGTCATGCAGTGCCAGCAGGGGACAGAAGAGGGTGTCGGATCCCCTGGAACTGGTCTTAAGGGAATTGAACTCAGGTCCTCTACAAGAGTGGCCAGTGCTCTTAATCACTGAGCCATCTTTCCAGCCCTATAGCTTATTTTAAACCTCTGTAATTGTTTCTACTTTGTTATCTAGAATTTGAGCTTACTAAAATGGGTTTTATATTTGTGGTTTGTTTTTATTACTGCATAACCAATATTTTATTAGTAAAGTTCAGTGTTTTGCACATCTAGAAATTGTCAGCTGCAAATACTGTTTTTAAGCACATTTTTCTAAGGTAACATTTTTTTTTTTTTGTTACAGGCAGTAGCACTTGATGGAACACTGTTTTTAAAATCCGGAGTGATCTCTGGAGGGTCAAGTGACTTGAAACACAAGGCTCGATGCTGGGATGAGAAAGAATTAAACACTCTGAGAGACAAGAGAGGCCAGCTAGTTCAAGAACTGAAGGTAAACCCTCATGGAGTTCTGAAATAGTAAGGAGATAATTATGCAAAGCTATTTCATTTTCTTAATAAAAATAAATTGTGAATTGCTTATTTCCTGTGCCCATTGATTATGTATTGTTGCCTAGCTTTAGTTATTTTACAGTAACTAAATTAGTCCTCATATTATACATACTTTGACTTTTTAAAAATACTTATTTTATTATGTGTATATGGGAAGTCAAGTCTCATAGAGGCCAGAAGAGGTCATCAAGCAGTTGTAAGCCGCCCACTGTAGATGTCAGGAACCAAACTCTGGTCTTCTGAAAGCACACCAAGTGCTCTTAACCACTGAGCCATTTCTCCAGCCCCTTTCTCTGGCTTTTTAATTAGCTTTATTGGGATATAGTTTATATACAGTAACAGTCATCAGTTTTAAGTGTCCAACCCAGTATGCTTAGACAAAGTTCATAATTCTGTAACTACTGCCACATTTATGTATAAAGTACTCCCATCACCCTTGCAAAATTCCTCTGTGCTCCTGTGCAACCACTCCTACAGGGCCTAGGCATCTTGGGCCCTACAATCCAATGTGCATCCTGTCCTTATACTTTGACTCTTCTATAGACTTCCATGCAGTAAGTGGCCTTTTGTGTTATCCTTCCTTCATTTAGCCTAATATTTTTGAGATTTTTGTTAATGTCTGTATCAAAGGTTTTTTGTTTTTTTTGAGGGGGGGGGTCCTTTTGAGACAGGGTTGCCCTGTAGCTTCAGCTGGACTGGAACTTGCTATATCAATCTATCTATCTGCCGGCTTCTGCCCCCAAGTGCTGGGATTAAAGGCATGTGCCTCCGTGCCCGGCTGACCCTTTAAGTCCTTAGAACTTTTTTGTGGGAGGAATCATCTGGTACATTGGGCTGGAAAAGCCCTTGAAGGATGGAAGCGGAGTTTGATGGGTCATTCTTGGTGGGGGCCTAGAAGGTAAGTGTGCTGAGAGAAAAAAGACAGTGGAGGTCTGGCACATGAGGGTTGAGAGTTAGCAAATCCCCATGTCCTGAGAACTTGAGTGGGGTTAAGTTTTAAGGTGACAGACTGCTTTGTTTGACAGAAGGGCTGGTGCTGAGAAAGCAGTTCTGACCATTCAAAAGTGCGGCACCAAGAAACAAGACAATGGAGGCCTGGCACATGAGGGTTGAGAGGGAGCAGATCCCCATGTCCTGAGAACTTAAGTGGGGTTAAGTTTGAAGGTGACAGACTGCTTTGTTTGACAGAAGAAATTTATGGACTGGGTATTCTCCTCAGGCTGGTGCTGGGAAAGCAGTTCTGACCATTCAAAAGAGCAGTACCACTGAGGTGAAATCCATGCTGCACTGGGACAAAAGAAAGGTGTTCCCCAGGGTCGGCACCCAGAAGTTGGTACAGCTGGGTCCAAGGGGGCTGGGTTACATTTGGTGGCAGAACTTGGCAGTGTCACAATGTCATCCACATGATTTTGCAAGATTGAGAAGGTCCTGGAAAGCTGTTGAGGCCTGGGACTGAGTGGCAGGGTCGGAGTCTCTATGGAGAGGCCCTGAGAAGCATGATGCTGTGAAGATGAAGTCTTACAGAGGAGACCCCAGAGAAACTGGAAATGCCAGGATTCTGGGACATCCAGCAAGGAAAGCTACAGGGGAGGAGTGGGGCCAGCCCAATTCTAAGAGAGAAGCTTTGTGTGCCTCAAATAGCTGAGCTGAAGGGATGGAGCTATGTGAGCCTCTGGGGCCTAGCCAATTACACTATAAGCACCAGGTGCTGGACATGGAGCTACAGGATTTGGTGTTTCCCTCTTAGAATTTGGTTTTGCTTTGATGTCATTATCTTACATCCCAGTTCTTCCCTTTTGGAATAAAAATATTTACTTTGTGCCATTACAGGTTGGAAGTGTATAACTTTTTCTTATAGCAGCTCACTGTTAAGAGTCTTTGGACTTTGAAAGTATTGGAATTTTAAAAGATTTGGGGGACTTTTAAAATTACATTATGAGAGACCCTAGCAGACAGCCTGAGAGGGTGGGTTGGGACCTCCTTTGGGGTAGCAGCTCAGAGCTCAGCAAACTGCCAGAGAGTGCTGGGTTCTGGCCTCCATCTACCAGAGGACCTGAGAGCCCAGGGGACTGTCTGACAGTCCCCAGATCCTGCCTCCTCCAGGTGGTGAGCTTCTCCTAATTGAGCCATACCATCCCCCTACCTGGGATTTTGTGAGGCCCCTCCCAAGGCCCCAGGGCAGATCTGGCTTTGGTAGGCTAAGGCTGAGATCCTAGCAGACAGCTTGAGAGGGTGGGTTCAGACCTCCTTCAGTGTAGTGGCTGGGATCTCAGCTCTTAAGTGCCTACATTAAAGAATTAGAAAGAGCCCAAATAAATGACCTAACACTACAACTCAAGGCACTGGAAAGGCAAAAACAAATGAAACCTGTTAAGGTTCAGGTAGCCCTGCCCCCTCATCAACAGGGTCTCAAGGACTTCTCAAGCTCCTGAGAAAAGGGAACCAAGCTGATAAGCGCCCTGGTCTTTGAAGTCAAGAAAAGCAGACTTTTCTCCACTGTTTGGCCAACACAGCAGACTTCCCCTTTGATCTCTAAAGAGAACAGGTTTTAACAATCCTGCTCTCCCACTCCCCCCCCACTTTAAAAAAATGCATCTTCCTGCCTTCTGCAGGAAGCAGAAGCCTCCCTTTTTAAAAGACCCCAGCTCACAACCCGGGAAGACATTTTCTCTGCCCAGAAGGGAATCTGTCCCATGTGTTCCTTTGCTAATAAACTCTGCTTTCCCCTGATCAACCCTATTTGTCATACAGCTACTTTTTATCTATCAAAACCCAAACCCAGCATAAGAGAAGAAATAACAAAATACAGAACAGAAATTAATGAAATAGAAACAAAGAAAACAATACAAAGACTCAGTGAATCTAAGAGCTGGTTCTTGAAAAAATAAACAAGATAGTCAGACCCTTAGCCCAGTTAACCAAAAGAAAGAGCAAATCCAAATCAACAAAATCAGAGATGAAAGGGTTTGAAACATCACAACAGACACCCAAAAGATCCAGACCATTATAAGGGAATATTTAAAAACCTTTATATGACTAAATCTGAAAGTCTAAAAGAAATGAAAAAAAAATCTGAAATCTTGGGAACCTCCAAAGTTAAACCAAGAAGAGATCAACAGTTTAAATAGACCCGTAACATATAAGGAAATTGAAACAGTAATACAAAGCCTCGCAACTAAAAAAAGTCCAGGCCCAGATGGATTTACAGCAGAATTCTACCAGACATTTAAAGAAGACCACCAACCAATACTACTTAAATTGTTCAAAATGATAGAAACAGAGGGAAAATTCATTTATTATTATTTTTTTATTTTATGTGTATGCGTGTATTGCCTGCATGTAGGTAAGTGCACCCATGTCGTGCAATGCCCATAGAGGACAGAAGAGACTGTTGGATCCCCTGGAACTGGAGTTACAGACAGTTGTTAGCTGCCATGTGGGTGCTGGGATTCAAACCCGGGTCTTCCGCAGGAACAACCAGTGTTCTTAACCACTGAGCCATCTCTCCGGCTCCTGAGATAAACAGCTTAAACAGACCCATAACAGATGAGGAAATTGAAACAGTAATACAAAGCCTCCCAACTAAAAAATGCCCAGGCCCAGATGGATTTATAGCAAATTCTACCAGACATTTAAAGAAGCCCTCCAACCAGTACTACTTAAGTTATTCAAACTGATAAAAACAGAGGGAGAACTCACAAATTCCTTCTATGAAGCCAGAATCACTTTTAATACCCAAACCAGGTAAAGACACAACCAAAAAAGAAAACTGT